CAGTAGAGGTGGTTGCCTGGCTTAGAAATAGTTGGTGCAGAGTTTTGTTATTCTTTCAACTCTGTTCTCACACCTTTTGATTTTTAATAATTCCTCCTTCTAACCAAACTCTCATTTACATTTTTTTCTCTTAGCACAATGAGATTTCTCAACCGTATGATTTATCTCCCCCACCCTTTTATTTAAGACACCTCTCCTCTCAATCACTCAAGAATTACTTGTTGGGTAGGGTTACGGCTTCCGATAGTCCATAGAAGTACAATTAGTCTCATACATTGATCCCATGAAAGATTACCTAAAAATTCGAAAGTAGTATGCTTTGAAGTTTAGTAAAATTTCAGAAATCAATATCTGAAGCATAAGTATTGAACTGATATGTTCAGAAGTCAAACAAATGAAATTGTGATGACCTGGATTTCAGACAACATTGGTTGAGGTAACTTTTATTTGATTATTTTGTGAAATACGTGATGACATGCATGTTATTTAAATAAATGCATGAATCGTGTATATATGTGTGAAAATATGATATTATGCATACATGAGTAAGTGTTAAAAATAAGTGTGTGCACGTAGGGTGAATTGCATACATTGGTTTGATATTATTATATTATGAAGGTAGGCAACTTTCGTGGTTAAGAAAGAGAAATTTTTATAATAAGTTTCCACCGCCTGTAAGTTTTATATTAGTAAATCATCACCGCCTTTGTTAAGATATATATAAAGAGAATAAAGATAATTTTTTTTATCTTATCTTACTTTTGGGAGATCTTTGAGAGAAAAAGAGTGTGTGGCGGTGAAGGTTTTTCTTGAGAAGAAATCTTGCCTAAAAGTGATTTGGAGATTCTGTGTTCATTTGAAGAAATTGTTGTGCGGCTTAGATCTTCAAATATGTTCATAATAAGGTGAGTTTTTTGTTACTAAATCATTTCAATAATGTTATTTGAAATACTTGATTTCGATGATCAATTTTGAAGAAGAATGGTATGAACTATTTTTGACAGTTTAAATTAAGCTTTTTGAATCTGGGTTGTGAAAACTGTTTTTGGAAAATAAAAAAGATTTTTGCTTCTTTAAAACAGTTATGGATGATATCCTATTTTAAGGATTTAAGGGAGATTTTTAGTTTGTAAATGATATTGAAAGAACATATGGTTCTTGAGTTTTAAAGTTCCAAGATAAAACTATTTTGAAACCATTATTGGTTAAAAACTATGAAGGATGTTCCATCAAGACGGTTGTGACTTCGGTCTGTCTTCGTTTGGAACTAATCCGTAGATTTTGATGAGGAATAAGAGTAGCATATCAAGGAGAGGTGTACCACGGGATAAGGGTGACATATCAAGGAGAGGTGTACCCTCGGTTATAAGGGTGGCGTATCAAAGAGAGGTGAACTTTGAATATAAGGGTGACATTTGTATGTGTGATTATTATAACTTTTGCTATTATATCTCTTAAGATTGCAATAGTTTTGAGTTCTTACTTCTTTGTGATTTGAGGACTCCGGGATGTTGCTCTTATTAGAAATGATATTATGGAGAAGGGGAAAACTTTGCTTATGGCCAAAGGTTTTCGATAAACTATGCTTCTAATAAAGTGTTTGCTTTATGAGGAACCAGAGAGGCTCTGGTTGATCCTCACAATAGAACCAGAGGGTTCTGGATGATGGTTTGATATTGGTATAAGTCTTTTTACCAAGGTTTTATATAAACCAGAGGCTCTATATCTATTAGATAGGAGCTCCGTGTCAAAGTTATGTTTTAAAAGTAGTTCGTAATATTTTTCCTTTCATTTTAACTTATAAACTCTTCATATAAAGAAGGATGAACCAGAGGGGCTCTGGTTGGTCTTCGCGTTGAACTAGAAGGCCTCTAGTTAGTCATGAGTTTTGAGCCATAAGCTTTGGTTGGTAGAACCAGAGGCTTTGGTCATACTAAAACTTCTTATTGTATACTTTCATACTTGGGAAAACTATTTTAACCATCTTTTGTGTTTGACTTCGTACATTTATGAAGATTAACTTGAGAGGAGCTCTGGTTGGTATAACAAGAAGCTCTGGTAAAGGAACCAGAGGAGCTCTGGTCTTGCTATTTTATGAAAACATTTTCTAAGTATGGTCATAGGAACTAGAGGACCGATGAACTAAATAGATTATGGACTTATGTTCCATTATATGAAATGATTGATTTAAATAATATTTTGGTGATTTTCACCCTGCAATTAAGTGGAAAAGGGGATCTTATTAGACCTTCAGGTTTAACCCTCATTTTGTGTTTCAAATATGTATTGCAGGAACAACAAAGGATAATGATAGTAAAGGAAAATATGATTTGTTTCCCTATATGCATAGTTATGTGAAGATCAATTTGTGCATGTGTTTTGAAAGTTAAATGTTGTGTAGTACAAGAACATGTATTTTGGAATTTTTGAGTTGTGTATTTTGTAATATAGTTTCTTGTACTTTAGACCTTTGGGGATTAAACATGTATTTTTTAGAATGAATTAAATGTTATATGCAATATGAGTTATGGGGTGTTACAGAAATGCAGGTTCTGAACTGAATATTCAGAAACTAAACCATAAAAAACATTTGTTTAGAATTGTCAAAAAAAAAATTCAAAGCTAAACAGAATGACTCGGTATACTCAAAATTTTTACAAAAAAACATTCATTGATTAGAAAATTTAATTGTGAAGAACGAGTCACAATTAATATATCAGATAAGAATTAAATCATTGATATGAAATGACGCACAATGAAAAACAATATGATTTCAAACTAGTGTATTTCCACCGAAAATTTCAACAAATATATGAGACGTGGAAATAATTAATTCAAGAAAATTTAACACATGGTAATTCAAGAACTAAAAATTCATTCACTTACAGAAAAATATGGTACCCCCCTTAAAAGTAGCATAACCTTTTGATTTATCAGTCATATGGTTTGAATATTCTGAATAAGAATGCGCATGACTTTCCTACAAAACATATTTGTTGGACCGATACTAGAGAACCGCCCACATGGTATTGTCCGCTTTGGGTTGTCCCTCCCGGCAACAACCCCTCACGGCTTTAAAACGCGTCACTGGTAGGAGTAAGATCCCCCCCTTCCTTATAAGGAAGACGAATCCCCCTAGCCTCACCGATGTGGGATGCTCCTGCATTGCTACAGGAGCGTTGGGTTTAAGAATCGCGGATTTGACCGGCTTGAGGGAACGATGAGGCGGAAGTCCCAACAATATTAGACATATATTTGTACCCAAACTTTATTGGGTCCTTGGAGGTTAGATGCTTTAGCATTAAAGTTGTGGAACTGGGAGTCAGGACACTGTAAATACCATACCATCTATTCACATACCTCTAATTTACAAAATTATTTGTTCCACATGTTGAACAACACAACTTCTCTTGGCTGAGACTAATTAACTTATTGATAAATCTGACAAAACAAGACAAATCATTCCTAGAAACAAATGATTTTGTATCAATTACAAGAGATTTATGTGACTTGTTTCCAGCACAATCATCTATAGTTGATTTTTCTCCAAACCATTTTAACTTTTTCTTGAAATGATTATTTGAAGTATCAATAGAATAATTGTAAAATAGATTAGAATGATGAGCCTGATGTTTTGAAAAATATTTGATTTCGAGTATATTTGTTAGAATAACTGTTTGATTTGACATTTGAGGAATAATTATTCTTACAAACATTGCTTGAAGAGAAAAGATCAATTTTATGAATTGAACTTGAAGCGGTTATATAAAAGAAAACAGAATCAGTATCAGTTGAATCATTATACAGAGAAAGAACAAAAGTATTTGGACTAAGTTGTTCAGAGATGTCAACCTTTTTCTGAATTCTCTTTAGTCATTGGGTGTTTAGAAATTACCTCTTCAAGCTCTTTAATTTTGCTCAAAAATTAATCTCGTTCTTCGGCAGACAAACTAGAATTCAAATTCTTGTTAGCTTCAAGAGTCTTTTTCAAGTTTCTTGAGTTTTTCAGACAAAGAATTTCTTTCCTCCATAACTAAATCATATTTCTTTTTAAAATCAGATCTCAAATTCTGCTCAGTCACAATATTTGTTTCTAATGCAGATAATTTCTTTGAAAGCTTCAGAATTTCCTTCTCACAAACTATCCTCTCATCTTCAAAATCACTTTCTAACATTTTTCTCTTATCAGATATTTCTTTAAAGTATCCATCATTCTTTTTCTCAACCAAGCTTCTTTCACTAGCAAAATACTTTTTTTCGTTTTCCATAATTTTCTGAAGATCATAAATTTGTTTCGTAAGCTTCAAACATTTCTTTTCAAACTATTTTCGCTCAAGTTCAAACTTACTTATTTCTACAACAACAATCTTTTCAAAATCAGATACTTGTTTTGAAAGTTTGGTATTTGTCACCTCATTAGATTTAGTTTACTTTCATAAACCTTCCTCTCAGAATCATGGACGTATATATTGAAATTGGTTTGTATTTTATTTGTTATCTCTCTCTCTCTTTCTCTCTCTATATATATATATATAAAGAGAGAGAGGGGGAGGGAGAGAGAGAGTGAAAGAGGGAAGATCAAATGAAAACATGATTGAAATAAAATAATAAGAAATCAGTCAAATCATCTGTGATTTTACATGAAGACAATGGTGAGCGGGCAATGAGGGCCCCGACTCAAGTCACCGTCAAAGTCACGTAAATCACCTTGATTTTAATATAAAATCACATATGATTCAACTGTTTTTATAGAAGAGATATTGTTATCATATGAATATGCCTCTTTGTCTATTTATATATATATATATATATATATATTCCAAATTCCATGTCAAACAAACACTATTACAAATTGAAATATATCAAAAACAGTAAATTTGAAGAAATCAAAAACTACAATTTTCGGTGAGCAATCATTTATTGGTCCTACTACTATACTATATTTTTCCCTATAAGAATACGACCAATATTTCTGGAGTCATCCACCGCCATAGATGCTTTCCCTCTCATGCTATTATTCTCTATAGTTATTCTAGCACGATCAGAGACTTGGTACATCAGCTTTTCATTGGGTACGCATAATCATGTCTTTTTGTTGATGAAAATGAAGTAGCTTTAGAATAGAAGAAACTGAGCATGATATTTCAGCCAAATCAATAAAATGATTTTGGTTCTATCTTGATATTCTATTAGTTTTTGCTCTTGCCGTCATGTGAAGATCAATCTAGACAATTTAATTCGCATGGGTCGTTGTTGGATCCCTCTTCCTTTTGTCCATCTCTATCTCTATCTATAAGTTATGGCTGGCCAACTCTATATAATTTAATACAAATATAGAGATAGAAGTATATATATATATATATGTTTTGCCGTTGATGATCATATTTAACAAATTTCATGTTGATTTATAATATTAATTTTCTTCAATAATAGAGTATTTTTGTTCTATATTAGAAAAAAGAAGGATCAATACCGAAGTAGCTACTAATTCTAGCAAGGGAGAGTTGTAACTTCAAAACCGAGTAAGATTTGTTAAAAATGAAAGATAACTTTGTTGAAAACGAAAATTGACCTCAGTTTTTCCTCCCTTTTCGTAATATCAAGTAGATTACAATTATCTGAATGAAATAACATTCTTTTTTTCTAAATAAGAGTTGGTGTTTGGGTTGTGAAGTTCGTCGAACGCTTCCTACATGCGTTTGTTTCTTCTGGGCTTTTTATGTCGAAGAAATTCACCATCATCATCACTTGATGCTGGAGTGAGAAATGATCACTTGCTTTATAGGTTCACTTTTATTAGGGAACTATGAAACATCGTAGAACAAGAACCAAAATGGCACAATGAATTAAACCGGAATCAGTTATAAATAAAAGCATGGAATTACAACCCTTCTTGCTAAGTTCCATCTGACCTTCCAATTTTGGAAATGTAAATTTGCACAACCCTAAAGTCTATATATGTACCGAAGAAATTAACTGCAGAAATATGTAGAAATTCTGGGCTAGTGATTTGCTTTCCTGTCCTAGATCAAAAGTTTCAACCATCTCTCCATTAGAGTAGAAACTTTGAAAAAATTTCTTTTGCTATACCATTCTCATATTCATCCTCAATGTTCCTCTGGAAATTTTTCTCCTGCAGTTTATGCTTAAGAAGTGAACATGGACTAGAACCCTATTGGAAAGAATGAGATTGAAGGTTGATTTACCGTTTAAATTAGAGTCAAGACACACAAAGCAAAATCAATAATTTGTTGGAATTTTCCACTGTTCATCTTCTTTAACTCCTCTAGGTTTCCTAACCCCAAATGATTTTAAACATCTTCTTTAAAATGAGGAGGGTTTCCATCTTTGAAGAGCCATTTCCACGGTGGTCAGCAACACCGATGGCGTACTCTTCTATTTACTAAACCACGTTCCTTGTTTTTTAACGAAGATATTCAAATACTATTGAAAAATCGTTTCCCAAAACGGTTGTTTGGGTGTTCTTAGTTCTGCCTAACCCTTTGAAGAGTGGTTGGCTATTAGGTTTTGATTTGTCGCACTCTCCTTCTTCTGGCTGGTGTCCGAGATCCTTTAGTTCACATTGCTACCACTTTCTTCCCTTTGATGGATATTTGGCCTGGTGTGGTTTACTTCTGGGGTTTCAATCCATTTCACATTGCTTCAAATATGTAGGTTTGTTTTGTATAGCATCTATAGACACTCTCTTGCTCTTCATCTGATTCCTAGAGCTCTCCAAATAAGCATTTATTGGTTCCTAAGTTTTTCTCATCAAATTTAATAACAAGACATGCACCATCTTTGTCTCAAATTACCATTCAGAACTAAAACTATAACGTTTCCATGGACAGACAAGAGATATTTATAAGAAATCTCTATGATTTCATTCCTTGTGTGTTAACCATTTTCTTTGATTTTTATTGGATCTAAAAACACCTAGATATGATACCATTTTTCTGTTAGGGTTTACATAAGTCAATAAATAATTGAAAAAGGTCTAATCCCTTTGAAAATTCTTTCTCAGTTGGTTGTAATGGAATCATTCGACCCACCATTTCAAGAGTTCTACAAGAAATTATTTGACGATGAAGTGAACATCAAGAACGATACCAATGTCTTAGATGTTGTGGAAGAAAGAGAGCTTCCATTGATCGACCTTAGCCGGTTGAATATAGAGCAAGAGGAGGAAATATGCAAGAGGGAGATAGCAAAGGCCTCACAAGAATGGGGATTTTTCCAAGTGATTAATCACGGGATTTCGAATCAAGTTCTGGAGAAGATGAGGTATGAACAAGTGAAGGTGTTCAAGAGACCATTTCGAGACAAGGCCAACGGGCACCCGGATTTGAATTTTTCGACAGGGAGTTACCGATGGGGGACTCCATCAGCCAATTGCTTGAGACAGATTGCTTGGTCCGAAGCTTTTCATGTACCACTGGCTGACATCTCAACCACTGGAGATCTCTCTACTCTCAGGTAATTTCTAAAGTCATTCCACCATTTTTCAGAAACTTCTCTAGTTTTGATCTATGTGGTTTTATACTGGTATTTTCTATATGCAATTTTATCTATTTTTTATTTTAGTGTAGCTTAAATAAATCCATTTTGACAACTTTTTTCCCCATGCAGGAAAATATTTTAGTAGATAATTAAGTTTTTCTATTCAGTTTTTTATTATTTGTTTTTATGTGAATTAAAGGTTCCACGAGTTCTATACTTCTATATATCAAATAAACACTGACCAATAAACACTAACCAAATAGGAGTAAACAAAAACCGTTCAACCAAAGGGCTTTTGGCCTAGTGGTATCGTAGCCCTTAGCCTTCTAGGAGGTCAAGGGTTCAAACCTCACCATAGGTGAGAAGGGTGTGTGAGTTTATTTGTTACATTTGCCGTATATAAATATTATATACTTTAAAAAAATCGGTTCAATAACATATGATTTTACACTAAGATCATGTTAAAACCATACGTGATTCACACAACCTGAACTAGCGAGCATGTTCGCACGCTCAAAGCAAAATAGGAATCATTGTTCCACTTTTCCCATGACTTTTATGTGGAACAGATGTAGAAAACCCCACCTCATGCAACAAGGTGAAAAGACCCTGTTTTTTATCAACATACTTTTAAAATAAAATCTAATTCTCTTCTAAAATATCAAATACATATCCGTTTTTACATTTATACGTTCTTTAAATTTTATTTATTGTATTTTATTCTCTTTAGATTTTCATATTATTGTCCTCAAGATATTAATTATATGTTTTATATATTTTTATTAATTTGTGTAGCTTATTAAATATTAATAATAAAAATATATAGAAAATGTGTAAAATAAGAATTGGAAATTAATAAACTTCATATTTATGTATTATATTAATCGTCTTAACAAAAACTTTCTAATTATATATTTTGTTATAAAAATATTTATATACTATAGTATAATAAATTACATAAATTAAGAAATTTTTCAAAATATAAAAAAGATATAAACAACTAATAAGAGGTAAATTGGTCATTTTAGCAGTCATTTCTTACCAAATGCTAAACAACTGTCTTGTCCTATTTTGTTTTGTCCTACCTTACCATCTTCTGTTCAGATACCAAATACAACCTTATTGTAACCTAGTTATATATATATATATATATATATATATATATATGTGTGCATATCTGTGTGTGTGTTTTATAATATACTAGAATGCTACTCGCACAATGCGACAAGATACATCTTGACTTCAATATAACGTTTTATATTTTGTCTTTATCGTTGTTATAATGCGATTTTATGTACTTTTGAGAAATGAAAATGTTTTTATTTTTCAAGGAAATATAAATTTGAAGATTATATTATATAATTTTGAAAAAGATAATCGATATTAGTATCAAATTAACTATTTAAAATTTCTCATTTTTATATAATTTCTTAAATTCATTTTTTATTATAATTTAATTGAAGTCTAATAACGAACTAACTTATTTTTGGTTTAATATAATAATTTTTTAAGATAATAATTAAGTATTTTGTTAGAACTCAATATTTATCTTAATTAAATTTTAAATTTTTTTATATTTAAAATTATGTTTATCATGCATTTGATTATATTAATCTATATTTAGTTGTACGAATTCAGACATAAAGCTTCAATAAGATATACTCATGCATATTCTACTTGTAATCTTGAATTTTAAGTAAAATGCATCATTAAACAATACTTTATGCATACAAAATTGTTTTTTAGAGTTTTTATCAAATACTTTATAATATAGTATAGATAACTATTACTATTTAATACAAATATATATATATATACACACACACTTGTATATGTATAAACATATAAGGAATAATAATTTTCTATACCACTGGTTTTACTAAAATAATTAATAGTAATATTATTAAATATTGAATAAAGCAATTGCATATTGTATATCAAAATTTGCCTCAAGATTAATTAAATTATGTCAAATAAAACTTTATTAATTATTTGAAATTAACCTCGTAGAATATTCAAGATCATCGCATGGAAAGTGATGATCCCAAGATTGGATGTATGGCTATAAATGGAGCCGTTTTAGGGCAATGACTAGGAACCAATGGCTCTTTTTTCACCCGCAAAGTCCATGTCACCGTGTCTCGATCAATCTATTTTGCACCCTCAAAAGCCCACACAGCTCAGAGATTGAAGGATCTTGGCACGTGATATGGGTCCTCATTTTTCAAACTTTATTGCATTATTACAACTTCTAACAAGCAAAGTTTTCACACTCATATAAATGAATAGAGGAGGCTGAATTCGTACTTGGGCATGTGAAAATTTCATGTGGTTCTATAAAACAATTGGATTATACAAATTTATCAAATCAAACCAAACAAGATTGCTTTTTTACTATTTAAGATTTGTCAGTACGGTCTTGTTTTGACATAGTCAGATCTACAGTTTGAGTATGGTCTTATTTTTGACATAGTCAAATCTACAGTTTGAGTATGGTCTTGTTTTGACATAGTCAGATCTACAGTTTGAGGTATCACGTTTAAAGCTAAACCGTCTATATTTTGATAATCATTCATGTGTATACTATGCATCAATTTGTAAGTAATTTGTCGGGTATGTACATGTACATAGAAATCAACAAACAACTTCCATTACTTGTATCATATGTACATATCATATAATATAAGGGTTTCCCTTGGCTTTCCATTTTTTGGGTATATATATATGTATACATACATACGTATGTATACATAGGCTTAATCATTAATTTGATAATATATTGTGATACACTTGAAACCTTTTATCTTAATGTATTGTTTCACATGATATTTTCTCATTTGAAACTATCATTTAATGTATTGATGAATATATATTTGTTTCACAATATGTATGCCGTAGATAATGTGAAACATTTTTGTGTATAACTTATTTGTTCATATAGAGAGAGATTATTTATAGTTATAAATCTCGTTATTATCTAGTTTTTCTCAACTCTCATCGCTTTCTTGCTATCAGTCAACTAATTCTTCATTCTACAGTTTTTCTCAACTAACGTCGATTATCGTTTGTTTTCTCATTTTTATTATACAACTTCTCTCAACTATTATCCCTTTTGTTCAACTATAGATGATAATATGATTTTATGTGGAATTACTCATAGCTATATGGATAGCTTTTTTTGAGAGCAACGCGTGTAAGTAATTCATTATGACATTGTTTGGCAAAAATAAGTTAGCTTACTTTTTGGGTACATGTTTAGATATACATAAGCTAACTTATTGAAACGCTACTTAAAGTAGCGTTTTGGCAGCTTATTGTCGCATTTTCCAATTATAACTCTCATTATTATTAATTATTATTATTAGTTATAAATAAATATTAATAAAATTTAAATATTACTATTATTATTAAATATTAATTAATATAAATCAAAAATTAATTTTAATTACAATAAAATATTAT